ACAACTTCACTTCACCCTGCATAATAATAAAATACACATCAGAGCAGCATACATGGCAAGGAAGGACAGGAAGGACACAGTTTTGAAAGTAACTGCACCTCTTCAGAAAATAAAGATTAAAGCTGTTTATGAAGGTTATGCTATTTGGCTCAAGGAGAAGTTTATGGTGGAAGTGTATGAAGTGGGTACATAAGCAGGAATTTATTTTAATGAGACATTAATCTTGGAAATTGTCCACCAGTCATTTTCAGTCACCTGTTAGATGCACACCTAAAGAAAGCAAGACAGTTTAAAGGTGAAAATGTCAGTCGCAAATGGGAAATGGCTTCCTATTGTTGCTTTGACCAGCCATATATATAAGTCAAGACACAGTTTGAGTAGGCAAGTAAAAGTCTATGTTTTGAATGCTTGAGGCAGTTATGTAAAGCAAGGGCCACTACAGACGTTGCCTTTTACACTTCACAGATAGTAAATTCTCAAGATCATTTTTTTCTTATAAATTGGCACAAGAAAAAGTCTGCTCCTGATGTGGCTGGGTTCATTATGTTATACGGTTTCATATTTGTTTCATCTTGAAAACAAGAAGTTTGCAGTTGTAGGATGATTGGTAATGGTATCAGCCTTCACAATATGGTCTCTGAGCATGTAGGGGAATACATTTCAAAGCATTTCACTGAGATGCATCTACCTGACTTATATTAATAAATTACATAGTTAATTTTATATTGCTTGGAAAATTTATACTCTAACATGCACTGTTGTCTCAAAATATAAAAGGTATTTTCTTTTTGTGTCCTGCCAGTACTCTTTTGTTTTATGAATATGTAACTGATATATGGAATGAGAACTTTTAATATATAAGTGAAAACAGATGCATTACTTAAGCAAAGAATGTGCTTCTTAGATTCAAGAGTCAGCATCATCACTTGGATACTGCAAAGTACCAAACAGTCAACTATATTTGTCCCTATGTATTACACAAAGCTTGGTTAGACTTGGAAATATTGAAGACATTCCTGTTAATATTCACGGTAGTGTAAACTATTTCATAATATCATAGATGCTAGTATTACAGAAATGGTATAGGAAAATATGCAAGTGTTATGTACTCGTTCTTATATAGCCAAAACCCAAGAACTTGTTTTGCTCAGAGAAGAAACATTGGTTAATTGAGGTAATTAGGAATTACACAGAGGGCTTTTACTTACAGAGAAGACAAGGAACCATTGTTTAATATTGCCACAAAGGGCTGCACTTCTTCTAGTACAGCAGCACCCAATAATTACCCACCTTAGGTTCAGTACTGGCTGAACTTAGTTCTTCTGTTGATCTTGAACTGAACTCTTCAGGCCCAGCCTGCTTCCTAGGATTCCATTTTGTTCAGGAGACAAACTATACAAAATAAATTATCTACCTGTGATGTGCTACAGTTAAATAACATATTGTCACAAACCACTTCTAATAGCATAGGCTAGGAAGACACAGTACATTTCTTATAGATCCCTCTGGATGGAAGGATCTCCTGTGTTATGGTAGCAAGGTACAAAGCCATGATTTAAAGAAAATATACAAGTATTTTAGTGTCTTTTCTCAACCTGATATATAAGAAACTACCATGATTCAAAGAAACATACCTACCATTAACTTAAACAAAACTTCATGTATTCATTGACTTTAAAAATATGGGGATTCTGTAACAACATTTGCAAACTCATTTTCCTTAACAAAATCCAAAGTAGTAGTAGCTTGCAGGCAACTTTTGCAGGGTTTCTCAGCTGTTTCCTTTCTGTCTTCCTCTGCCCTTAATTAGTTTAAAGTCTAAATGCCCACAGGGTTTTTCTTCTTTCTCCCTTTCATAAAATTAAGATAAATAAATCCGATTTTACAGTATGTAAACTGGTCTCTGGGGTGGAAAAAAGGGAAATTACCTTTAACTACAGTGCTACACCATTTAATTTAGGTGTTTCTTGACTTTTTTTGCCTTCACTGTAGCATCATTTATTTTCTCTTCACTGGAGTAGGTGGAAGAGTGATTTAATCTGGTATGGCATCTAAGTTCTTGTTCACAATTTCCTTATTAAATGATCACTTTAAATAGGCACTTTAAAGAGCTGTGTTTATAATAGTACCATGAATTAATAGTACAGTTGTAAGCAAAGAAGTTGTGCCATGGAAGTAACAGGCAGCATATTAATTTGTGGCAACTATAGACCAAGTACAGATCAGAAGAGAATCTGACCCTATGTAACTAATTTTCTTACCATTGTGTTTGTATCTATTAACTAGAGACAGTGTACCTTTCCCAGGCTTTTCCATTCATACATCCCAGTGTTCATTCAGAAACACATTTCCTTTGGTTGCTGGATTAAAGGGGGGAAATGTGAAATGTTTTGGGACGTGCAGTACACTTGGAACTCATGACATTAATTTACATAAAAAGCTTGTGAAATTATTTTAGATCTTGTTGCCCTTGCTTCAGAACAGACAGGTGCTACCTGTTTGCTGGGATTTCCTAAAGAAATAAGTTTTCTGAAAACAAATGTTGTCACATTTTTTAAATGAAGGTACGTTTAAATGTTCAATGTTAGTTCTAACTAGTTGAGCACTGAAGCTTTATCTTGTCTAACTTGGGCTGATTTTACACCCTATAATATATATCTTTATTGAACTCTGAATGTGAAAATTTGTATTGTGAGTGATAAAATGAAGGAAAAAACCAGGCATTAAGCTTGGTAACAATTTTCAGGATTACTGTTTGCTTTTTGCAAACCCTTAGCAGGTCAGTTGTCACTAGCAAAGTAAATCTCAACATAAGCTGACTTTCTAAGGTGTTCTTTGTAGATATAGTCGATAGGATAAAGAACAGGTGTTAAAGCAATGAAAAGGTAAACAGTCATTTTACTGGATGGTTCACTGGTAAATGTAGAAAGAAGCAGGCCATTCTAAAACAAACGTTTACTGCTATGGAAATATTTGCACAACTGACAGCAATAAATACATCATATTTGTCTCATAAGAAAAATCTGTCTTTTGAATTCTTGATGAATGTGTTAATTTGCTTATCCTGTTCTCAGTGACTGACAGTTTGACTAAGGATGGTGGAATTTGCTTACAGGTTTTGGTTTACCTAGTGTCACCTAAGTAAGCAAACACAGTATAGTAACTGGCATTTAGCACAGAATTCTTTGTACATTTGCTGTTTATTTTAGGAAATGGCTTACCAGCTGTGTTGATTAGGCTTTTTTTTCTTTGCATATATTTCATCTTGCTTTGCACATTGTTAGTGTTGATCTTAATGTTCCAATGGTAAGCATTGCTTAGATAATAGCTAGGGGTGTAAATATGCTTGCAGAAAAAATGTTTTTCCTCATACATATGAAGCTAAAACAAAAGAGGGGTGAACTTTCAAGCCAAAAAATATGCAAATATTCAAGCCAAATTTGAAAATTCAGGTGCCTACAAATAAGCATCCTAAAAGAAGACTCATTATTTAGCACCTAAATATGGATAGGGCAGTGCATTGATTGAAGCACTAAAGTGCAAATTTAGGGATTAAATTCTAAGGCTACCTTTCAAATATGTAATTATACATTGTCGTGTGCCCAGGAATGTGGTTGTTATATTTTACACATGCAAATACACTAGCTGATTTTACAGAACTGTGTGTATACGCACAAATGTGTGTGTGTACACCTAGATACAGAGGATGTATACTCAGACTGTATACTGTCACACTGTATACTCAGATAAAGTGAATCTGAATGAAAGAATGTCATTTCACACTGATGATTCATTATGACTTTTAAATATAAGAATAAAGAAAGCAACTTATGTTAAAAAAGTTGAGTTACCTTCCTTTAGAATTCAGAACGATTTTTATAGTGTCATTGCAGCACAAGGAATACTACTTGCATCATTACATTATGATTATTATGTCAGTTGCTGAGTTCAATCATCAGAGTACTTGTTCCTAAGAACATAAGCATCATTGTGTGTAAGATGTTGGATTTGAGCTAAACTGTGCAATTAAGCTGTGCTTACTTCTATTCGTCTTAGTATTTCTGTAAAAAGGTAACTCATTTGTATAGAAAAATAAGTATTTTATTAGTGTCATATTAAATTGCTTTCCCACCCTTCATGTAGAAATGTATCAGTGTTGCCATTTTTAGGATATATCTATGCTGTTTTAGCTCAGAGATTCCATTGACGCTATTGCCAGGGAAGAAAGATGACTTGTGGTAGCTGCAACAAAAAGTTTCCCGTTCCCTCCCCCACCGCCACCCCCCAAACAGCCCTTTGTTAACTATACTTGAGTGGAAATGTTAAAGGATGCAAACAACTTCCGTTAGTAGCGATTCTTGAAATTCTGTCATTTCACTAAGTTAATTTCACAAGTCGGATCCTGAACATATTGTTTCACAAAATTCTTCCTAATCATAGTTCACATGTAAATCTCTGTTCAGTGTTTGCACAACATGTGCCCAAGTAAACTAACTTTATACAGTTTTTAAATAGAGATAAGCTAGCTGCTGTCAGTTGTTTGTAAATAAGTAGCTGATCAAGTTTTTCCTGTTTCTGATAGTGTTTTTGCTTATGAGTTGTCAAATATGCCAGCAAGCCTCTGTGTGTGTGTGTGTGTGTGTGTGTGTGTGTGTGTGTGTGTGTGTGTGTGTGTGTGTGTGTGTGCGCGCATGCGTGCTAATAATTATTTTAATTAAAACGGAGTTGTTGAAACAAGCTGAGCAGCATACATGGGGGGGGGTTCAGAACAATGTAACTATATTTCTTTTACTAAAGTAACATTTCTGCCTGATTTTAAAGTTAACTTTTGGCTGAACAGCTTCATTCAGAAATTTTCTCTACACCATGCATTACTTGGTGTTGTTTTTGTGAATTTACAAACTACTAGAGCAGAAAAAGAAGAGGCAGTACAAGTATATAAAGATATACATATAATATACACATATAATATCTTAAAAATAGGAATTATATAGTCCTACCTTCATTAGCCACTGAGTGTTGTTTTCCATGATGTTTTCAAGTAGTTGCAGTCTTTGTACTGAGTCATCATAGTCTAGTGGCGCATCCCTCTGTACTGCATTCGACACATAGGAGCTAGAAGATGAGCGGCAGTTGTCCATCTCAGGCAAAAGAAAGGTATAACTGCATGACCCATGCTGAACCTGATACTGCTTTTTGCCTACAGTCTCTGTGCTTTTACGAAAGGAAGTATACCCTGAAGCTAAGAAAAGATTGCAGCTCAAAATACAGTAAACAGCCAGCCGCATTTTAATTCCTATGGTAACCCAGTATATCTAAAATACTTTAATATGTTTAACAAGAGCTCAGGTTATAGAGTTAACCTGCCCTGAAATTCAGTGCTCTGCTGTCATGTGCAAAGTAGTCTGAAAAAGGGCTGAGTTTTCGGTATCCTAGCTGCAAACTTGAAAAGTGCTGTCTTCTCTCCAGTCGTTCCCTAATCTGTCAGATGCGAGCAGGCAAAGCAATCCCGTCTCAACTGCTAGATGTGTTAGTTTCAAAAACAAGCTTTAGTTTTTCTTCTGCTTGTCTTTTAGCCTTTTTTACAGTATCTGAATCAATCACTTTCCTTTCCTTTTATGATAAGTTGATAAGAGTACCCAGACATGTGTAGCTTGACTGCTCCTCCCTCCTGGCTTATCCGTTATCTTCCTGTGGGGGGTGTCATTTGCAAAGCAGCAGGAAAGTCAGAACATTCTGCTGGATACTGTATGGTCTGCTACATAAAACCTCTGGAAAAAATTGATCAGTTGGAGGACCCCTGTGAATTTCTTAAGCACAGCTCTAATTAAGAATTTCCTAGACAGAGAAATCAGTTCCGATAGCCTCCAACTATGTTTCCAGAGTGAGCTTGTAAATTATTTGTAGAGGTGATTTTTAAAAAAACAGTTACGAAAGTTCCTTTGTTTGTTCCTCTTGAAGGAAAATTCTTTTGAAATAGCTCTCAGATCAGCACAGCTTGGTTTATGTTTAATACTTCATATAAATAAGGAGGAAAGTGCTTTTTTAATCAGACAGAGGCAGGTTTCAGCTTGCTGTTTCAGAAAGAAATAATGCCTCTTTTTAAGTGCTGAATGCCCCATTCAACATGCTATGCTCTTATATGTCCCACTGTACCCTGGAATTGAATGTGCTTTGATTTCAATAAACTTTCTAATAAATGAATGGCAATGCTAAACATTAGTCCTTTATATAAATAGTTAATCATTTTTAAAAAAATTTTTAATAAAATCAGAAATCAGGTAGGCTGAAAAAGGAGGAATAACTTTTCAGTGGCAAGAAGAATTCCCGGTATGTAGCATGGGAGCATTGGATTTTCTTTATTATGCAATCATATTAAACCAATATTGTGCCCAGGTACAATATTTGATATATACCTGTCAAAAATAGGGTTAAAAGCTCCTGAAGCAAGTATCGTAATTGTACAATGCAGCACACAGAAAGGAGAGGGAGCCTCCTGTACAATGCAGTGATCAGTTATCCTCCAAAACCATGAGATCGCTAAACCAGCTAAAAGAGCCTGGGAAAGAGTTTGATTTCACTGAAATCTTGGAAAAAATGAGCTCTCAATTGTAGAAAATGTTTTCTGGAAACCATCATGCTGGGAAAGTGATTTGTGAGGCAAAATTGCCCAGTGCTTCTCTGGATCTGGACATGAGGACTGGACTTCCCTATTTAAAGAAATGTATATTATACGTAAATTTAAGAAAATATCTCTGTTATAAGAGGTGCTACATTAACATGAACTGGAAACCAAAATCTCTCTCTTATCCATAGCAACACTTCAATGTATATACCCTATGGACTTCCTTAGGCAATTTTTTTCTAAGCGATTTTGTACTACTTTCTACATATACTTATTGTATAATGAGGCTGTCAAAATCAATGAGAGGAATTAAAACCCCTACAAGGTTCTGTAAATGGTCAGAATTTTTTAGTGCACTCAATACTTCTAGGATTTCCTTTTAGATAAGAGTCTCCAGAGCTTTAATCTAGAAAACTCTGATAGAGACAAAATATGCTTGACTTCTGTCGGTTCCAAGGCATGCAAGCCAAATATATCTCATTTATTTCTGGGGAGGGTTCATCTACCATTGATCATTTTTGAATAAGAGGATATAGAGATATCTAAAACTAAGGACATGGTCAAGGATATTTTTTGTAAAGTCAGTCTAGTACTGGTACATTTCTTTTTGGCAGAGAGAGAAAATGCATAGTTTATCTGTCCATAGGCAGACAACATTCTTTGGGTAAATGTGATCTTTTTTATTAGACCAACTAAATAGTTGGAGAAATTGTTCTTTGCAAGCTTTCGGGCACAAACACCCTTCTTCAGGCATAGGGAGAGTCTGCTTTTCATCTGTTTATCTGTCCAGCTTGCTTTTGCCCTAACAAAGCAAGTAAATTTAAGAGATACCCTGAGGCCTTTTTGAAAAACCTCTAAATTTTTCTGAAGTTTGGCTTCTACTTTTTAATCTGTTGGTTCCTTTGAAAGGACATTTCCTTCTGTCTATACACAGTCTCCTTGTCTAGAGAAATGTTTATTGTGGTACCCTTCAGTGAGTCTGTGAGATCAGATTTAGTGTTTTAGGTTTTATACATATCCTAGGTTTCTGACTAGACAAATTTAGACATATTAGGACATTTCCACTCTTTGTAAATAGTTTGGTTTGAAGATGAAATAATCGGAATAAATATTTCACCTTTTATCTTTAAAGGAAGTACCTACACTTTCATAGCCTGGCTCCGCCTTTCTCATTTTCCTCTAGCAGTATATCCAAAGCAAGGTAGGATCTTAGTTTGAAAATACTGGGGAGGAAAACATTTTCATTAAGTTCTTCTGATTTTGCTCTGACACAAGAAATGTATTTAGCAAGAATAAAGAGGAAAGATTATCATCTTCCTTTCTTAGATTTTTTTATGCAAATTATTTTCTCTCTTTAGTTAGGCATTGAAATGAAAGATGTAAGTGAAAAGTGTGACCTCTTAAGGGCTTTTATTGTAATTGGGAGAGCTGTTTATTGTGAGAGCCATTATCTCAAGAGAGGGGCCCTGAGAAGCTGTCAGACAAGGAGATGGACAAAGATTTACACTTTCCTGAGAGGATTTTTAAGATTTTGCCAAACAAAACCCTTGTCACCTGTAAGCACTAAGATTAGTTACATTGTTATGTGCCAATGCCGACTTCATCCCTGATATCTTTGCATTTCAATTTTGCTGATTTTTTGCAGAGAAGAGAGGGGCTGGAGCCATGTCTTTTAATGGTTGAACCTGATTCTTTTTCATCAGGAACTGCAGGTGTGTGACCTTGAGAGTCCTTCAGAGGGTAGGACCAGGAGCAAGATTGGATTTAATGATACTTGGTACATCTTGATCCTCTACCAGGAGAGAAATCTGGTTGTCTTGAGTACTGCAAAGATCAACCAGGATAGCATTTCTATTCAGTATAGCATTAACATGTGTCCAGTTGCTATAGTGGATGCAGGAGCTTCAGGAGAAGTGGTAGAATGCAGAGATCTTGCCCAGGAGTGCTGGTTGGTATCTGTTGGAAATAGTGGCCCCTTCTGAAATCTGTTGCTGCTTACACTGTAGGGCATAATGTTCTCTTTGGAGAAACACTCCAGTGGTTCCACTCAAAGAAGGATGGCTTTTTTTCATCTGTGCTACTTGCAGTAGTAATGACTCAAATGTCCCTTTCAGCCAAACCAGCAAGGCCTTTGCTATATCACCATCTGGATCAGGCAGACATAATCTCTGTTCCATTGTAGGGATCTTTCCCCCCACATACAAAGCCAAAATAAAATATTCAAAAAACATTCTCCTTGCCAGCAAAATAATTACAACATCCCTTTAACCCTACTTTGGAAGTTGGTGCTGCATTTGGCGCATCTTTTTGTATGTTGTTTATACTTTTTGCTCTTGTCATCCCTTTGGGACTAGCTTTCCCAGCTGTAGAGGAGGAAGTGGTCTGCTGTGCCCCAGGGGAACCATAGGAGCCAGAGTTCAAAGAGGATGAAAGCGGGAAGAATCTGAATTTAGAAAGCTAGTGTGAAAAGTAATGAAAGTTTAAATACATTTTTGTCCTCAAAAGCTCAAAGGAGGTTGGAGTACTGCCTTCTTACTGAACCTCTGAGGCGTTAGATAAATCTGGCATCCTTTTTGGAGGGCAGGACTTATTCCATAACTACTGAATGACATTGACCTCTTGTCAACAGTGCAAGGGAGCATCTCTTTGTTAGATTGTCAGACATGTTAAAAATAGGAAAAAATTGAATGACTTGGCATGGGGCTTTGTACAGTCCAGTACAAATTTCAGTAAAAATGTTTCAGATCAGTTGTAGTTTCCTTTGGATACTTTTGTTTGTATTTTTCATTTTTGGTCGTCTTAGGTGCTTTGTAGATGAAGGGGTCTATTTAAGTATATGGTGCAGTATATTCTCCAAACTGCAATAGTGAAGTTTAGTCTGTGATTTCCTGATTGCTTTTTTGTTACATATATAGAGTTTGACATAAAATAGCAAATACTAGCCCAGTATATTTAAAGTACAAATTAAATCTTTCCTTTAAAAAAAGAAAAAGGCATTCATTCTATGGAATTCACCTTACAAAAGGGTTGAAATGTATATTTTGTCAAAACTAAGCTTTTAAAGCTTTTTGCCAGATGTGCTTCAGGCAATTTCCTTTCCTGAGAGAGAGTAATTTCCCTTACTTAACCAAACCTGTTTTTATTTCATGCCATATATGAATAAGTTGCTTTAGGAGAGAGATGACTGGATACCACTCACCCTATCTTTCCAGTTATCATTTTACTTACAGCTGCACAGCTTCTGTTTGACAGGCAAATACAGAGGCATTTCTGTGAAATCTTTGATACTAAAGCAAGAGTAAAAGCTTGTAAAGTAATGTTAGAAAATGTTGATTGTCTTAAGTCTGCAGATTTTTTTCACATATTTATATTAGCTGCTTGTTTTCTAGATAAGCTGATTCTCATTTTAAAGGGTTTTTTAGGGTTTTGCGGTGAAACCAAATATGAAGCAAAGTAAGAACCAGGCTTCTTTATGATACTGTTTTTAATGCTTTTTAAAAATTGCTGTTATATAAGAACACTAAACTTCAAGATCAAGTGTTAGATGAGAGTAAAATATCTAAAATCCTGTAATAAGCTTTTAAACCATAAACCCTTCTACATATAACTGATGTCTAAATGCCAGACATTTTGTCACTCTTTTATTAAGACCTCACCTTTGGATTCCTGGGTCCTTTTAAATTGCTAGTTGATAATAATTCCATGTGCTGACTCCAAAATATTTTCTTTTAGAATGATTCTCAGGAACAAAATGCCAACAAGGACAAGATTTATAAAATTTCAGGAGTAAAAACAATGACCAGGGTTTTTAAATCTAATGGACTGAAAAACAGTACACTAAAAAACATGCCACCTACTCTGTGGTCTCATTTCTCGCTGCAAGAGTAAGGAATGCTTTTTTTATAATGAGCTGAAATGAATTAATATATTTCCCTCGTGACCTGTAGCTGAAGCAAAGCCAGCTTTCCCATCTTTTCTGTGTAATACCTTTGTATCCATTTATCTAGTTTATTGCCATGCCCATCACTTTAGTATCTGACTTTATCCATGTAAGATCTATATCTACATCAGTTATGTGCCGTTTTGTGACAAGAAATACTTCCTTTAAATACCCTCGCTGTGGGAAGTAATTTAGAAATGTATGTTGTTCCAATCCTAACCCTAGAGATTTAATTAGTACA